CCCGCGCTGAGGGCGGTGCGTGAGCGCTGTTCCGAGGGTGCTGTGCCCCCCAGCCCGGCCTCCTCCCTCAGGTGCGGGGCACGGGCGTGCTCATGACGCCCACAGGCGACCTCTGCGGAAGGCGCATCGCCGCCGCTTCGAATGAAGTTCTCAGGTTTAGCAATAAAGTGACTTTCCGTCAGGTAACTGAGAAGAACCCGAAATAGGGACATTCCCATACAAACGGTGCTGGGTTCTCAGGTGTGTTCAGATTTGCTTCCGTCTATCTGCTGGTAGATGCTGGAGGCATGAAAAATACCTGTTAGGTTAGTGTTGTGTGAGTGGTGGAGAAGGTTTGCTTTATGCAGAAAACGAGCGGTTTGTTTGGGTTTGTTTTTTTTTAACCACTAGCCTTGGATAACTTAAAAAATGTTTATTGCTTATTAACCCAAATCTTAATGGCAAAGGATATTTTTTTGGAAAGTCATGAGTGAGATTATGATTCTGTTTATAATTTTAACTGTCATGGTTGCTGACTAGCAGGTTGTACTTAGGTTAAAGGAGTAAAGAACCCTATCTGGTGTATTGCCAAACTCTGAGGTATGCACAACATTTATTAATTCTACTGGGAGGTGTTTTGAACTATGCTTTTTACTTGCCAGCTCCCACCAGCCTGGGATCTGCCCATCCTCTAGACACCACACCAAGAGGAAAATCTAAAAGAATAGGTTGCATTTCTTGTATATTTGGTCCAGTCAGTATAGTGAGTTTTTCAAAGTTTTAGCAACTCAGACTGGGGTTGGCTTCTTTTTCTAACCAGTTCTACATTACCCCCTGATGGCACTGCAGCTGTTGATACTCAGTCTTCCAGTATAGAGATGTTCTAGCCACATTCAGGAGCCTTTCTGGTAATGACACTTGGTGCAGGGAATAGTAGATGTAATAAGATCCCAAATTACAGCTTCTAGGAAGAGAGGAGCTGCTCTGCCAGGCAAAGGTACAGTAAAATTCTCTAATAGTAAGACCTTATATTTTAAAATTCTGGTAATTTAGCTTTTAGGTTTGTTATGCATAGTCTGTGTCAGCACAGGCTGTCTTGAAGATCAAATTACACAGAAAAAGATGTTAAGTTTGACTCTGGGATCTAGATTTCAGTTACTAGCACTGTTCATGAGTTACATTTTGGTCTACTGGAAGTTTTTCTATGAGAATTTTTGACAAAACTTAAAGGAACAAAATTTGTTTGTTTTATATTTTAACCAATATTGTACTTTGTTTTTAACAACCATATTTCAGTATAAGTTATAAAAATTAAGTATTAACTCAGAACCACATTTATGGTGGCGTATATCAAATTTCACACATTCAGCTTGTGAGAACTTGAGAACTTGATGGGCGACTTTGGTATCTCTCTGATAGATGACTCTTCTCAGAGCTGATATGAAGCCAAAGTCCATCATAATACAGAGATCACAGGGTATGTTGTATTTAGCATGATATGCAAAACTGAGGTGTCTTTTGCAGTCATTACAGTAGTTTTATTGTAAAAGGTGATGCAGTAATATAAATACGCTGTCCATATTTCATTCCTCCAACCACCTCTGTCTCATACTCTTACAAACCTTCCGAAACCATTTATAAATGTAAGTACTGCCTGAAACTGAAGTATTGCTGTACACTCTCCCTGTCCTGCTAGATTGCTGAGTTGCAGCAACCTCTAGAGTGCAAAGTAATTTTGTATATGATTTCTTACAATTATGTTGTCAAGCTTAATTACTTTTAGGTAGAAGATAAATTACAAATTTATCAGTAGCCCTCCTGAACAGAGCAGTGGTAGTAATTAACCCTACTCACAGTAGTAAGCATTATAGATAGCATTATTTACAGTCTGAAGTGTTCTACAGGTAAGATGATGCAGTGATTTTTGCTGAAAGCAAATTTGCAGAATCCAGAGAGGCAACGAAAGGCTTTGCATAACTCTTAAAAATTGTCTCTGTAGACATGGACTGTAAATTTTTAATTTTTGCTTGGGAAGGTATAAAAAGAATCCCTGGGTTTGCTTTTACTCATGAATGTGGATGGTGGAGTAGAAATAACAAGTACATGCATATTATCACAAAAGAAGAGTGGTTTATATCTTTTTTTTTTTTCTCTATATTCTTTAAGAACATAAATCTAGTCTGTGAAAATGATGAACCTTTTATACATCTGACAAGAGAAAATAGCAAAAAAATGAAAAGGTGGAGTTTTAAAGTTCGGAATGCATTTTAATGTTTGAAATGTTTGTGTCCAGCTAACTGATTTACTGGAGATTATTTACTAGGAGGTTTGGACTTGCATATTTTGTCATGGAAAAAATTGTTCAGTTCTTTCCAGGGTATTAGGTCAGTTTGATTAAATTGTTCAGAAAATACTGTAGCTGGAGAATTCTAAACATTTCCCTGGTGTATCCAGAGAGGCATATTGACTGTGCTACAAGGATTGGTTCTTGCAGTATGATTCTTCAAAGTTTTAAAAACACAATTTGGTCTCATCTGCTCAGGTAGAACCAAGCTACAGGCACAGTAGGGGACTAATGTTTATGACTACATTTCTCAAGGTGAGTTTTCCTTGGAGGCCCTAAAACAATAATTTGAAATATACAAAATAAACCTTATTCTGCTTGTGCTCACTGTTGTAATCATATGGCACCAAGTTAATGAGTGACTTCACATCTGTAAGGGAATAACAGATACTTTCAAGTAAAGTTAAGTCAAAATGATATCTTGGAAGTTCATTTCTAATAGTTAATGGTGATAATAGACATTATTTTGCTATATCTGAGGCAAATTTCCTGTGCAAATGGGTGTCATGAGTGCTTGCTGTGCATCTGCCCACAGCCTACTTGCTCAATATTGCTCTCTTCCTCCTCAGGGGTTTTAACCCTTTAAGTCAAATTTTTTGTGGTGGGACAGAGAAATGACAAAAGTAGAGGATGTCTGTGAAAATCTGTATTTGCTTAGAAAACACAAATCTAGATAAAGTCCCAGTGCTGAGAGAGAGGCTGTAACATGAATTGAACTGCTACCAGGATGGATGGGCTTGGCAATGAGCATATGTACATTAGCCAGCTAATAAACATTTTTAGAGATCACAATCTGACACAGCACAGGCTGCCTTTTGCCCAGCCAATAATTAAGGGATGTGGCAAAGTACTGTAGAGAGGTCTAGAGAACCCAGATAATTCCTGAAGCTGTGGCAGCAGTGGGGAGTGTAAAGGATGGAGGACAGAAATCCAGGCTTCATCCTTTTGGGAGCTGCACTAGTTTGCTGGGGGGAAGAAGGGAATGAAAATTTTACCAACTCGCTCTTTTTATTTAAGAATGTGTTTCTGGTCTTAGAACAGCCTTTAAACAGAGAAATATAAAGATAACTGCTTTCTCCTCTTCTGCCAGTTCAGATGAGGCCTCTTTTGTTTAAAGTGTGCTTTGTGCCTCAGGGAAATTTATACGGTTGGTCAGACCCATGTTTTATTGCGTCTTCTAAAACAGCTGGAGCTTTTCTGCTTTCTTTGTTTATTTTCTTCTCTGATCATTTAGTCAATGCAATCAATAATGCTGCTTTAAAAAGGAATGTATCAGTTGCTTTCCATTTTTCGGTTTTTAAGACCAAAGCTCTTAGTGCTGCTAAGGATGTGTATCTCCACTTGGAAGTTATTTGGCACTGTAGTGCCATAAGGCTCAAGGTTATAATATTTAGCTTACTTGCTGTTGTATGCAAACATTTTTTTCCTAGTTTGGGCTGGTGTCTAAAGTGTTACATGTATTAAAAAATGCATTCTCTGCATTAATCTTTGGAGGACCTGGCGTTTTAATGCATACAGCGTTTTAAAAGGCCTTGGATCAAGATCTTAAAAGTTAAACATCTGCAACTTCTTCCCAATGGTCTGAATATTTTAAGTTTTGAATTCTGAATTTTGTCATCAACAACTCTGTGACTGAAGACAAATTATTTAACTTCATTCTGTCTTTGAGCTTACTTTTTAAAAAAGCGTAACCCAGTGTTTTATTGTCATGAGTATTAATATATTTCAAGTGATTTTTGAACCATAATTCTTCATTTGAATCAATACAGAACTACCTTAGAATAAATATATTTCTATCAAAAAATAATACAAGTAAATTACTTATTACACATTACAGGAAACAATAATTTGTTGAAGAGAAGCTCAAAGGCTACAGAGAATATCTTTGTGTCTGAAGTATGTTATTGGACATCTCTCCAAAGACAAATAAGAAATGTTTTGTGTATCTTTGCAACAGATATAGTAATTTTAAGAAGATCTGTCTGGCTAGTAAGTTACAGTTTTGTTCTATTATGCAGTACACCTTTACACCATAGAATCTGCCAACCAGTACATTTTTCTGTTTTGTTGGTGGATCTGGGTAATACAGTGCAAATCAAAACAAAGATGGATTTTCTTTTTTTTTTTAAGGGAATTAAATCTCCTTTAATTCTGTAAATAAATAAAAGACTTTGTGCACAGATTAGTTGCATTTACTGAAATCTGAAGTGCTCTGGACCACTGTACTTTCTGGAAATTTGTATGTGTTTAAGGAATATCCGAGTGTGACCAGTGAAAAAACATTGTAGGGTTGCATTCACAGAATCACAGAATGGTTGGGGTGGGAAGGGACCTCAGGTGATCATCTAGTCCAACCCTCCCTACACCAGGTTGCACAGGAAAGTGTCCAGGTGGGTTTTGAACATCTCCAGAGACGGAGACTCCACAACCTCTCTGGGCAGCCTGTCCCAGGGCTCTGGCACCCTCACAGTAAAGGAGTTTTTCCTTAAGTTTGTCTGGAACTTTCAGTGTTACAGTTTGTGCCCATTGCCCCTTGTCCTGTCACTGGGCACCACCAAAAAGAGCCCAGCCCCATCCATGTGGCCCCCACATTTCAGGTATTTATAGACATTGATAAGGTCCCCTCTCAGTCTTCTCTTCTCCAGGATGAAGAGTCCCAGCTCTCTCAGCTTTTCCTCGTAAGGCAGATGCTCCAGGCCCCTCATCATCTTTGTGTCCCTCCGCTGGACTCTCTCTAGAAGATTCCAGATTCCTCTCTTCCTTTGCACCCCATCTTCATTACCAAAATGAGCAGAAATAATTGAATATAAGGAAGATAATTTTTAAAGTCAATATAACATTTACTAAATATACCTCAAAAATATCGGGTATAAAGTGACACTCGGCATACTGCGTGACACACTGAATCCAATTTGATTATGCAGTTATCAGGTGTATGAATTTATTTAATTCCTGTGTGTTTTAAATATGTAATGGTTATAGAATTATCCACGAGAAACATTTTGATATTTCATGGAAAATACTAAATACAGTTCTTCTAAGAAGTAATTCTGATTTTAGGTTGGTTCTTAATACTTCTCTTACAAAATTGAAATAAGAAATCAACTTATTGTTGCGTAACGCTTTATTCCCCGGCAGGGGGAATAATTATTTTGATAGGCAAGTGAAATGTTGCTTGGCTATTATCCAGCATAAATCTTTCTTCTTTAAGCTTACCAAAGGTTTTGGAAGAATGCTTTATGGTAGATTTACAGTTTTAGAATCATAGACACATACTTAAAATGAAGGTGTTTGTGCCAGAGTGGATTAATTTAAATTAAACAGTAGATTTTTATAATATTTTAAATAGGCAAGTAAGGATCGTGGTTTTAAGGTTGCAGTTTCTATTCTAATTTTACAATAATGTATCTTAAGTATTTTCCTAGAAGGGGTAGAAAAAAATCTCATGTTAATTTCGAACAAAGTAGATAGCGTATTTGCCTTTGGTTTGGTGATTCTGATTGCCGGGCAGGAGGCTGCAATAATACTTGTATGTATTATACAGCTGAATTTTTATTTTTCAGTCTACATCCTATGTTTTGGTGAGCTGGGAGATGGTGCCTGGCAGTGTTCCGCAGCATATGGGTTGGGGCACTCATGGGAAGTGTGCTTTGGTCCTGGTGGTGCCATGAATTGTGAGTTCTCCTCTGCAAAGAGGTGGAGGTTCAAGAGGAACCAGGGAGGGTGGCCCTCCCCACAGGGCCTTCGGTGGCAGGGCAGTCTCTTGGGAAATGCGAACTGGAGCTTTGCTCGATTGTACCTACTTGATGAGTTTAACTTGGGCTGACAAACTGCTCTGCAGCCTGTTCCATTTCAAATCCTTTTGTGGACAGAAACTCGGGGATATGAGATGGAAGAAAGAATTTTGGTATGAGGAGCCCTTTCTGAAAAAAATACTTTAGAAGGAGGAGAGATGTATGGCTCGGCAGACGATGAGTTCTTGCTATTTAAGGATTAGAGGTCAGTGTAGTCAAAAGCACAGACAAGAGTGTGACAGGAAGAGCACCGAGGCGAAAATGGTTGTAAAGAGCACAGAGAACAGGCAGGGAGACCAAATTTGGTTTTTGTTGTTAACTCCTGTGGTCTGGCATCAGGGAGGCTGATGTTAAATTCTGTGCTTATGTCAATTAATACTTGTTATTTAATATGTTAGAAAATTTCACAGACTTACAGAGATTTTATTTCTATAATTCTTTTTCTTTTGAAAATTTTTATAGAAGTTTTATTATCGGTAAAATTATGGCAAAAAATTCCCCCTCCACATCCTGTCAGTATCTGATCTTATCCAACAACTGAAATGACTGAGGTCTAGCTGCAGAATACTTAATGCCAAGTAATATATCAAAATTAGCATCAATTAGCCTTTTTTTCACAGTATTTAAAAGTCTGATGATTTTGGTGGTTAGAGAACTGAGAATCCAGTGACACGTTTTGACCTTGTATAAAACACTTGAGTATTCTTGTCAGTAATGGACATCCCTATCAATAAAATCACATTAAAAATATCTTCCATACAGTGAGTAAAGTACAACTTATACAAACTTAAAAAAAATGTATTGTATTCATTAACTACACCTTTCAAGTAATTGTCCTTCTGTAATTTTTTCAATTTTACTCTTTAAAGTCAACTATGTAAATATCTATATTATATATTTTACATAATAATTATAATTTATAATAAATGAAGCTAGAAGATCTTATGTAATTATGCATATGTCACATTTATACAATATATAAATATATAAAGTTAGAAATTTTACATGGTAAAAATTAATGTTGGACAGATTTTTTTTTTTTTTTAAGTATATAGCAGTGTATAAAACATTATCTGCTTTTGATATGAGCTTTGAAGTTTTATTATATAGTGGTGTTTTTAAAGCTGAGATTAATGTCAGGGGAAGATTCCAGCTCCGAAATACTTTACCTTATTAAAACCTGGTGTTTTGCTAGATGGAAATTTCATGGACTGCCTTCCGATATGCTCAGTTATTGCACGACTTGGTGACATTTGCCACAAATTTAGCTGTCTGCTGACTAGATGAACTTTAAAAAGCACAGCAAGCTAATTTGTATTGATCTGAGACTTTTCTGTACCTGCAGAACTGGACTGGCTTAGTAACCCAAGCTTCTCTGCAGAAGAGGCGCTATTACTGCATCAGCGCACTACAGAGGTTACACATCTCATCCCTGAAAAACCTCCACTAATAAGGTAGAATAAACTTCAGTATCTTTTAAAATAGCCTCTTTCTTATGTCCTGCTTATCTTTTGTTATGTGAGACCAAATCAGGAACTTTTAGGGCTGCCTTTTCATTTCACTGTTCAGTATTTAAAAAGGGCTGAACTGAGTCATATATAAAAGTATGAATAATGCTTTCATGTCCTTTAACTTAAAATAATGAGAAATTATACTTATGCAATTACATTCCCATTTTCTTTTCTCACAGCTGTATTTAAATCATTGTTATTTTGGCATGGAAAGGGAACCGAGTGATCATGATTCTTCATTGGCTTTTGAATGTCCTAAGTGACCCTTGAAATAATGTAAAGATTAAACTTCATCTTTATGATTTGTCTGTGAAAACCAGTTCCATCAGCCATTTCACAGTTGAGTTTTTTACTTTTTAAAAACTAGTTGAAGATGTGAATTAATGAAATATTGCTTGTATCAAGTTGTGTGGCTGCGTATAACATGCTGATCACTGAAGTGGGCGATTATATTCTTTTACAAAAATGTGTTTTAAGCAGCCACATTTGCTGAAGAACTGGTTTTAACACCTTCTTTAGAATAGCTGCTATACTTGGCATATCTGCACTATAACTAACACTTAATGATTAATGGAATCAAGTTGCTGTTGCCAAGTTAAAAAACTTAAGTAATTTTTAATTTGATAAAAGCTCCTGTGTTTACTGTGAGTGTTGGTGGTCATGATAGAGAATGTCTTTGTAATAACAATCACAGCTTTTTGTATACTTACTCTTACATTTACATGGATGGTGTGATTGAAATGTAATCACTCTTCTGTTTATCAGTCATACTCTGCTTATATTTCTTAAAATCTTTTCAGGACTTTAATGTCATAAAGCCACAGAATTTACAAATTACCATTCGGATAGAGTGACATAGTATACCCACCATATTTCATTAAACTTTGAAAAATAATTTGTCAAAAAAAAGCGTACTAAGAAATGTTCGGGCTTTTTGCCTATTACTGGGGAACATTCTCAATTCAATAAAAACTAATTACTCCAAATAGTTGGTGTTTTGGGGGGGGGTTTGTTTTTCTGTTTGGGAGTGTGTGTGTGTGTATGTGTGTTTTAAAGGCCTGCTAATGGTTTTTTCCCTAGCTTCTTTGGTCTTAGTGCCCTTACATAAACTGTTCAAGATTATTTTCTGAAGTGCCTTGCTTCTAAAGTGCTGCATTTTCTTTTATTGACATACTGAGACTTGTCATTCCTTTCTTTTATTGAAAGATTCCAGTAAAACTGTTTAAAAAGAGCTTGTGCTTTAATTAAGGGTTAGAGACCTCCATTATTTCAGTTGATCATTAAGTATGGGAGTGTATGTAGTATGTACAGTCATATACACGTCTTTTGTCAAAACCATCTGTCCCTTGTGTGATCTCCGAGTAAGTCAGTGGTCTGTTGCATGTAGTGTTTGTTATTACATTATATTATATGATAATATTAATTAAGTAGTCATCAAATATTGTTCTTTGAGAGGTGGGATTTGAATTTCTCATCTGGAAGTGATTTTAAAAGTATGTTTTTGATATTTCTTATGTAAATCATAAAGAAACAAAGCAAAAAAGTCTGGACTTCTTTTCTTTTGCGGGTCACCCTGAAAGATTTCTCATCCTTTTAGCTAGACCTAAGCTGTCTTAGCAAAGTTACAAAATCTTATCAGCTCAGTCATCTTCTTTATTTTGGTGATGATAACGAATGGGTATTTATACAGATCACACGTTGAAATGGTTCTGACCATTAAAACTTTTAAGATTGATTGTCAGTAATTCCAGCAACTGAGAAAGTAAATATCATTGTTATTTAATGCAAATTTATATTACTTTCGTTGTTTGTGTTGCTCCTAACTCTCTTCTCCAAAAATACAAGGGGAATAAAGGTGGAGGGCAAAATTATTCTAAACTTTATTATGGTGATATTTCTTTACCGTTTTACCACTTAGATATATAGGTCTATATAGATATATATACTTTTTTCCAAGCAGGACTACTTCAAGATCAGAGTTGTCAGGGGACAGTGGTACAGATGAAAGTCTAAAACAGTCAAGTAAGAAAAGGAAAAAGAAAAAGAAAAAGCATCATGACTATAAGAAGACAAAAAAGAAAACTAAGGGGGACTCCAGTAGCAATGAATCGGACCTGGACACCGAGCACACAAAGGACAAAGCCACAAGAAGTGGCAGAAATCACGAAAAGGAAGCAGCAGCAAAGTATGTATTTATTAATACTATGCAAGATGTAAATTCGTTCTGTTCTTGTACTTGTCTCTTCAATTTTTTGAATTAAATTCTTGACACTGGTGGGTAAATTTCTCTAAGCTGTATATGACTAAACCTGCATTCAAAGCAGTGACAATAGAATTAGAAACACTTGTTCAATCATATCTGAAAAACTGTGACTAAAATATTCTATGAAGTACTGTTCTGCAGAACAGAGCATGGTGTAGCAGTAATGAAATGTATTTCTGAAGACACATAGAGGTTTATGGTGAGGTTTTGTAAGCATCTTGTTTCCTTTCATGGATCTTTGATTTAGTGGGAGAGTTTGGAGGGGGATTGCATTAAATGTTATTTTTAATTAGTGTAAAAGTCTTAATAGACAGCTGTGTTTGCCTTATGGTATAACTTTCTCCTCACAGAATTAACATTGCCCTTTTTTTTTTTCATATTAAGACAAAGTTTGTTGTACAGTTTAACGTTTCTTTTATGTCCAGCCATTTATTTCTCTGTGCTGTATGCTTCATACTTCTTGTTCATGGTTCATCTAGATGAGTATTTGAACAACTGAAATTGTTTTGCCAGATCTTTTTTGTTAATTCCAGGAACTCTAAAGTACTGTGTAATTAGTGGAGCTGTCATTTTTATATGGAACAAGAAAATAGGTATCTGGTGAGTAGCCTGATCTTTGAGGAGTAAAAGACCACACTGAGCATTCAGGTTTGGCATGCGTAGCTGTGCTTTTCTCAGTCTGTTGGGTTTTGATCATTTCATCCAAAGTGGCCCACTCTAACTGGCTGTGTAAGTCACCTTTCCCTGTCTTTCATCGTGTTTGCTAGTTTGAGCAGCCATTTGCCTCTCTTTGATTCCCTAGTTCCTGTTTGTTCTTTAGCATCTGCAGCTCTGGCTCTTAATTCACAGCACTGCAGCTGCTCCTGGGAACAGAGTGAGGTTTTGGTGACATTTGAGGAACTGTTCCTACGCTGGGTGCAGTCCAGGCAGTCCTTCACTTTCCCCCAATTTACTACTTTTTCCAAGGCAGATGTACCAGGAGCTGAGAGCACGGGCTTGTGGGCACGTGTCTATGCCAAGGGCTCTTAACATTGCTTCCCTGTGAAAGAGTAGCAGTGGTACTGGTGGAGTTGTTTGCTGCCTCTAGCCACCCTCACTGCCTCCCGTATGAAGACTCTGGTTTTGGCTTGTGGTGGCGAAGGCTTGGCTGTGAGAAAGCACAGTAAAAATCATTGGGATGCTAAGACCATTCTGCTCTGCCCAGTCACTCTGTCTTTGCTGGAAGGGTGTCTGGGCTGGGTGAAATGGACTTATGCGCTGAACCTGGTTCCTCAGCTGTTTGCTAGACTGTGCCAACCAGCCAGTGCTTTGCTCAAATGAAAGGGCCAAAGTTCTTTCAGGGTGTCTGTTTTCACTTCTTTCCATTAATTGTTGATCATAGAATGGTTTGGGTTGGAAGGGACCTTAAAGATCATCTAGTTCCAACCCCCCTGCCATCAGCAGGGACACTTTCCACTAGATCAGGCCACTCAAAGCCTCATCTAGCCTGGCCTTGAACACTTCCAGGGAGAGGACATCCACAACATCCTTGGGCAACCTGTTCCAGTGTCTCACCACCCTCACAGTAACAAATTTGTTCCTAATATCTAATCTAAATCTACCTTCTTCCAGTTCAAAACCATTTCCCCTTGTTCTGTCACTACCTGCCTTTGTAAAAAGTCCCTCCCCAGCTTTCTTGTAACCTCTTTGGGTACTGGAAGGCCGCTGTAAGATCTCCCCAAAGCCTTCTCTTCTCCAGGCTGAACAGCCCCAACTCTCTCAGCCTGTCCTCATAGGAGAGGTGCTCCAGCCCTCAGATCATCCTCGTGGCCTCCTCTGGACTCGTTCTAACTGGTCCATGTCTTTTTTGTGTTGGGGGCTCCAGAACTGGACGCAGTACTCCAGGTGGGGCCTTACAAGAGCGGAGTAGAGGAGGAGAATCACCTCCCTCGACCTGCTGGCCACGCTGCTCTTGATGCAGCCCAGGATACAGTTATTGGCCTTCTGGGCTGCAAGCGCACATTGTCTGCTCGTGTTCAGCTTCTCGTCCACCACCTCATTGTTGATGCTTGGTGAATATTGAGTTTTCAGGAGACTGTTTTTGAAGCTCGAACCACAAAATTGCTCTAAATGCAATAGGTCTTGTGAAATTTTAGAAAGCTTCTCCCAACTGTAAAACTAATTTACTAAGTTAAATATTTGTAATGTGAGTTCAGAGCGGAAGTTTAGTTTGGGGCAGGTGGCAGTTTACACTTAGGTTCATTTGTATAACTGTAATCCATGAAGCACTTTGATGCACACTGTTTTATCAAATGCATGGCTTTAATTACAGCTAATCAATATAATCCTTTTACAGATTATCCTCTTTTAGGAAGAAGCTGCAATTAAGAAAGACAAAAGTAAATTTTAAAAGTAGTAAATATGGCTTTTAGAGTATAGTTTACTAAGCAATTAATTGATTAAATCTAGTTACTACCTTTCATAATCTTAAATGCTATTTTTGGAAGTACAAGGAGTGCTTGCATTCTGTTTTGATAGTCTTATTAGTGTATCTCTAATTGTTTCTTTCCCAGCATATAACTTTGCAGTGATGGATCATGTACCATGACTTTGAGTATCAAATTAAATTATTATGAACTACAGAAATGCAATGTTTCCTGGGTTTTGTAAATGCTGAATGTATTCACCAGTGTTTAGAATATATTTCTCCTTTTCTTCAGTCTAGATAAGAAAACATCAAATCTTACCAGCAGTCACTTTGTTTGGCTTGATGATGTCCAGGCTTGCACAGCAGAAACCTTCAGAATAGACAAGAAACCAGACCCTGCAAACTGGGCCTACAAGTCCCTGTATCGAGGCGACATAGCCAGGTACAATACGTTGGTTTCTATTGGCATTCAAACTATCACAGAGTCACTGTCTCAAGATTCATTAACTTGAGCCTGGCTGTGAATTTTTTATGTAGAAGATGAGAAAATAAGATAACCAAATGATTTATTTCAAAATTTGACTTTGCATTGGGCAGAAATATTTTAAAAGGCAAAAGATGCCATGAAATAATGGGAATAAAGCACATGATTTTATTTTTTTCTAAAAACATTCTCTGTGCAGTAGATGGCAGGCATGTGAACTTGTAGAACTGCCATCTGGAGATGGCAGCATGGGGCAGATGCAAAAGCATGGTTTTGAGGTCAGATATCCCAAGTTCTGTTATATGTTGTCTTTGGGGAGGTGCCCCTTTGGACCTCTGTTGTTCTGTTTCTTTGTCTGAAAGGGAAATGTAGGTACTGAGTATTTCATATTAGATCTGGCAAGAGGTTTACTTCCTTGAATAGTTTGATATCCTTACAAAAAAGGTGCAGATAGTTTCTTAGCAAACAGATTCTGTGTTAGATCATGCAGACGTTGTGCCAGAGGGTGTCTGATTTAGGCATTGCTACATTTCAAATGACAATAGATGAAATTGCATATTCACCATCCTTAGTGGGTTACTGGTGCTATCGTGACCCTTCAGAACGTTTCCCTGCATTAAGGGAGAAGCCCATCCAAAAGAGCCTACACCGAGCTCGTGTATTATGTATATACACTTGTTTCTTGATGTTCTCAAGGAAAATTGTTTACTACATATAAAAGTAATTATTTGTGGAGGAGAGAGATTTATGGGTTTTATTTTTGTAATGTATATACCTTCACAGTAAAATTGCCAGGTTACAGTCCATTCCAGTTTTCTGCCACCTTTGGATTGTCAGCTATTGTTTGACATGAAAAGTGTTATTTTAGCATTGCACGTCTCTGTCTGGCACTGAAATGACATTCTCGTTAATATTTTAAGATGGTGTTTTCCTTTCTTAATCCGTAGGATTATTGTGGCCTTGATGAACCTGGTCTGTCTTTCCTCTCCACCCCCGCCCACTTCTTGGCATATGAAATGGATGGAGACTTAGGGGTAGAGAAAGATATTTTTAACCGCTGGTGTCTGATTTTTCAGTTTAAAATAATCTAACCTAAATAGCCTTAAATTATGCTGGCTGTTCTTTCTCCATGTTTGTCTGTGGGGCTTAAAATGATAGGAGGAAAAAAAAAATTATTCTGCTGAGTATGACAGATACTGTTGAACTCAGAGGAAGCTTACTATGATAATAAATGTTGTGATGGCACTGAAAAAATATATCAGTTGAAGTCTTAAATAAGAAGATAGTTACCAAGTTCTTACACTTTTGAAGGTCTATGCATACATTATTTGGGTCAGTTTGAATTAAAGTACTTCTTTCATGCTTCCTTTCAAAAAGGAGGTATCTTTTCTAACATGTAGTTTAGAAGATGTTTAATTGTATTTTTCTTTCTAAGATACAAAAGGAGAGGAGAGTCCTGTCTTGGTATAGATGCAAAGAAACAGTGTATAACTTGGGACAGTTCTGCAACAAAAAAGAAGCAGTTACAAAGGCGACCTGAGCGCTACTTCACAAAGAACAGTGTGAAGATACTGAACACAGATGGGATTCCTGTTTGCAATAAAAGTTCTCCATCTGACCCACCTGCTTTTATACCAGTTTTCCAAATGGAAAATGATGATCCTTCCGACACAACAGAAGTAAATCCTCTTGGGATTTATGATCCATCAACTACAGTGTGGCTACAAGGAGAAGGGTGCAAGAGTACAGACCATGAGCCTGTAAATACACAGCAAACAAGTCAAGAGCCTAGGATGAACATTAACTCCATTTTAATGACAAAAGTGGAAGAACATAACAAGAAAGTCAGAGAAAACCCAAGAGATATTAATGCTTGGATGGAATTTGTTTCTTTTCAGGTATGTGTTCTGACAGACCTGGTTGCTTATTATAAGTAGTAAATACATGAACATTATATTGTAGTTTCATTTGTTTAGGACTGTGTATCTTCTGTTGGTGAAGAATAAGCTGTTAATTCATCTTCACAGATGTCAGTGTTCTTCTTGTGATTCTAGCAGTGATTCTTTCTAATGCTGTAATGGTTTTTCTTTTTGTTTTAAGGATGAATTAATGAGAGCACCTAGCCCTTATGCCAGTAAGGGAGAACAGGAAGTAAGAAGAAAGTCATTGAAGTTAATCTTAGAAAAGAAACTGGCTATTTTAGAGAGGGCAATTGAAAGCAATCCGAGTAATGTTCATCTGAAACTCGCCAGGCTGAAGCTCTGTGCAGAATTCTGGGAGCCACCAGCTTTGATCAAGGAATGGCAGAAGCTGATTTTCTTACATCCCAATAATCCGGAGCTGTGGAAGAAATATCTCCTGTTCTGTCAAAGTCAGTTCACTACCTTTTCTGTTTCAAAAATTAATAGTCTCTACGGAAAATGTTTGACTACATTGGCAGCTGTACAGGATGGCAGCATGGTATCACATCCTCTACTGCCTGGCACAGAAGAAGCTATGCTAGGTAAGGTTCTTGCTATTTCATGTTATGGTCAGAATGGTCTTCATAGGAGGTGACTACATTCTCTAGAAGAATAGACTTTCCTATGTATTACAGGAAGTTTTTATTCTCTTCAAAATGCCTGGCATCCTGTTTTCTTAGCTGAGAATTAAAGCAGATATTCCAACCAAATATGGATAGAGCAGATGCTTTTCTTCCCCAGGAGGGTTTGTGATACAGCATCCAGTCAAGTCTAAGATGCCAAGCAGTTTGCAGTACAAATGTCAAGGCTGGAGAATTGCAGTCAACAGCCAAGAGATGTGCTTTTATATTTGAAAACTGTTTATTAAAAAAACCCAAACGGTTGGCTTGTGAAAGAAACAATTACATCTTGTTCAAAAGTTTTATAGTCAGTTACTTTAATCCAGAAAAGAGAAGGGACATGGGAAATCTGATGTGACATTTTTTTGAGCATCTCATTTTGTAGATGGGGAGTTTTAAACTGTACTACCATCTGATCATGCCTTTTGTATTTATTGTATGCATATATCTACCACTTACAATTTATTATATAATTATCCCTGGAAGGAAAATTAGTCAGATGGTTAGGATGCTGGACTGGATCCAGGGAAAAAACGAGCTCATGCTAAATACTGGTAGGGGTTTTAAATTTATTTGGAGCTAAATGACTTAAACGATCCCTTTTCAATTTTGCTTCTCTATGGTGAGGAGTCATTGTGATTATTAATCTATGAATATTCTGAGGAGGGGGAAATATTAGTGTCACCATTAATATGTTTGGGATTTTTTTTTTCCTCTTAAAATTTGTTTTTAATCATGAGGAGACTATTATGAAGCAGTCCACATTTCTTGCTCTGTGGCATCGTCCAAGACACCTGTATTTTTATCCAGGTCCTGTAACTGCTGTTTGAGCAATGATGCTATCTGTTATGCAATATCCAGTCTGGACTTACAAACTGAGATGCTGGGTTACAAATTGGTTTCAGATGTTCAGATCTCTTCTGCTCTTTGGTTGATTCATCTTGGATCAAGCACTGGAAAAGGAAAAGTCCTGTTCTGGCAGGTGGATATTGTACTGCCTGATAGTTTCTAATTGCTTCAACTCTCTCTGATTGCCAACACCTCAGTCACTCTGTACACTAACCACAACGAATATTCTCAGGACAAATGTTTTATTCAGCATCTTTTTTTTTTTTTTTTTTTTTTCAAACAGGAAAGCTTTTCTTTCATTTTGTTTCTCTGCACAGAACATATTTGACTCATTAAATACTGTTTGGCAACTGCTATGAGAAATATGGGGGTTTTTAATGGAGTTCTTGTAGCTAGTTAAATGTATTAGATTGACATTTTTCAAAATACTTGTTTACTGGCAATGTCTGTAGATAGATTAGAATGAAAACAAACTCAACTTTATTTGTATTTCTGTTCCACTCTTAATGTCTTGTTGTTCTGTATTAAGACTATAGTGATTATTAACACTGTTGAGGGGTTTGGGTTTTTGTTGTTGTTTGTTTGTTTTGTTTATTTGTTTTTGTTTGGTTTGTTTTTTCCTTTGGAATTCAAATGGTAGGAGTGAGGAAATTTCCTCAAGGGGAGACTTCTTGATCTGAGATTTTTTTGGTGACTCAGCTGTGTAATTCTTAGGCTGAATTTCAACTCTCAGTGTACTTATTAGAAAGATTACCAAATTGTTCGTTGAGATAAATATACAAAGAGTTTCACACATTAATTACGAAGTGAATAGCAGTGTAGATGTATGGCAGGCTTGTCTCTTCAACCTTTGACCTTTGCTAATGACAAAGTGTATGAGCTAATTTTAAATAGTGGTGGACTGTGCCATCTAGTGTTCAATTCAGTACACGGTACTATTTGCTTGGAAATAGGTGAGTGGTTTTTTTGAACATGAAAGTTAAGACAGCAGGTAAAAAATCATTTAAAATTATAGATCAGTTTTTACTTAAATTTTGAGATAACAATTCATAATATTTTAAATTTACTTGGAGCTTTTAATATAAAGCAGATGAAGGTAAGCATTCATAAATTTTGCTGTGGAAAGGGAGTCCTGTTTTTCAAAATTATTCCTACTGGTTGGGAAGAAACATCATTTTGTTTTAGGTCAGTTCAGCTGCAGAAGTGTCTGAATTAAGTATGTATTCATGCTGTTTTCAGCTTTTACCACAAAGGAAATGCTGATCCTTGCATTTCTTCAAATATCTTTTTCTTTTTTATCATGCAGAAAATCTTGGGCTATAATTTATTTTTAGCTCCAGTTTGGCAGCAAGTCCTGATGGGATATCCTCTACATTCAGACTGTTTTAATCAAAGTTCATCTGTTGGAAGCTGAAAAACTAGGAAAGGACAACATTTTCAGTGTCAGTTGGTCACAGTGCCTAAATTGGTTGAGATACTTTGGACGATTCTATTATATACTTAAACATACTTTTTTGTTGTTTAAATATCTTCAGAAATCTCAATCTCTTTGTTATCAGAAACAATCAATTGACTTGGCAGGAAAATCAGATGAAGTGCCTACATTGTATATTCTATCTGAATTCAAAATTTTATGTGCACACATCTGATTTAAATTTGAATTTACAGGAAAAGGAGTAAATAATTAGCCAGTTTTTAGTATTAAAAAAAATCAGATGATTGTTAGAAGCAACTGATGCTACCTGTGTTGTTACATGGGTGTATCTGGACACTTAAATATTATGATTGTTTAAAACCCTCCAAAGCTAATGCATTTAGTGAAGAAACAGTAGTTATGAAGAACTGCTTTCAGAACTACCAATGAATTATTTAAGTCTTGATTTATGGGTTTGGTTTTTTGTTTGTTTTTTGCAAGATTATGATTACAATTATGATTTAAAGCAATTTGGTTTATGAACAGCCACTGTTTTGTAAAGATTTGAGTGTAGTTTGATGTGATGAAATATCTCTGAAATGTGCTTGAACTGCCTTTATGTTTATAATACCTGTTCTTTCTCTAGCTCTTTCATTTAAGACTCTTGTTGCAGATATATGAACAGAAAAATTAGGGCTTTGCTTCCCTTTTTTAACTGAGACTTGAGGCTCTGTGTGTAATAGGGATATGGCAGTGACGACAGAAATAATTTATTGAAGAGCGAGGGATAGGACTCTTCTCTACTCTTCAAGCAGTAATGCTTTGACCAAAAGACAGGACTTCTCTTAACTGAGTTCTTATCTAAAGGAAAAGAAAATGGGAATCACAGTTGGAATGAAAATGGTCTATTGCCAACATTATTGATGGAACTATCTCAGGCAAAAATGAGGTGTAAAGGGTTTTTGTTATAATCATTTACTGTGTGAATTGTGATAATGCCCAATGAGGGCTGTGACCCCCTCTGACAGATGGATAAACTGAAGTTGGGACCACTGCATACAACTTTTATTCATCAGCAAGGACAGTGCACGTATGGTGTGAATAAAAAGCCACTTTTTTGGCACATTTCAAGTGGGAGGTCTTAAAGGTAATTAAACTACTAAAATATTGACATGCATTTATGCTAGTTACTCCCTGTGTTTTGGATTTTGATACTGTTCCAAAACAATTATGCTCTACAGCACTTCATGTGTGTATTTTGTATATTTGTGGACTGTAATAAAGTACTTTGCAGCAAAATTTATTTGAAATATTAAAATTTTATCTTTACTTTACAGCTATATTTATTCATCAGTGCCACTTTCTGAGACAGGCTGGCCATTCTGAGAAAGCAGTGTCTTTGTTTCAGGCTCTGATTGACTTCACCTTCTTTAAACCTGACAGCGTAAAAGATCTGCCAACAAGGGGACAGGTAGCAATTTCCTTTTAAATGGGTGTATGTCCTTATGCATTACAGAGAATGATGTAACAGAGAAATGTTGATGAATTTTTAAGGACATAGGGAAATATTTTGAATCACAACTTACTTTGTGGTTCTTCAAGGTGATGCTTGCATTTGAAAAATGCTTGTGGATCCTCTGGAACTGCATGCCAAGTGGCTGCTTCTGCTGTATATGATAAAAGTGCGATAACCAGTCATTTCATGTCATCTTTTTACTAATTAAAGATGGAAAAAAATGAGCTGGCTGACCAGTGTCTGTGTCTAGTTGGTGCTTTCTCTGCTTCTTTTCCCCAGAACTGCTGTTGTTTTGTTACTGTTGATGGAGAAACCCGATAGGATCTATAATCTCTTTTCATTCTCATCAGTTCCTGCAGATATTTCTTAGGTTTTCTGTTATCTGTTTTCCGTAATTCTTTGATGGCTACATTAGGAACACCTTCATGCTTTAAAATATCTTTTATTTGACCCATGAGATTCCATTCAGCTTATTCTGTTAAAGTACTAAGTCATTTTTTTATTGATTTGCTCAGGAGAATGTTGGGTGTGCACCCCACTAATAATCAGTAGGTTAATATTTAGAGGGGGCTGTTGCCAATGTAGCGTCATCCCACTGAATAGTGAGATGCTGCTTCCTTTTTAATGAGCGGTAGGAAGGCCACCAGGTAGGCAGCTGGGTTACTGTAGAGGGCAGAAATTTAATTTCCTTCCGTTACCTCACCTTCTTCCCCAGCAACCACTGCTGAGACTCCATTTTTTGCTCTCTAGATTAATGCTGTTACCCACCAATGGAGCAATCTTACAGTTTAAATAATAGTGGTGTCCTCTTAAAGAGCCAGAAGTTTATAGAATTCAATCACAATCATCATGCAGGATGGGAGATTTGGTATAGTTCCATAGATAAAGCTTGAGTGACACAATCATTTGAAAAACTGCAAGATTGCATGTAGTGTTTAAAATCTCTTAAGAAAGCAGGATGGAAAGGAACCTCAGTATGAAAGGAGAGTGTTTGGATTGGGTAGTACAGTTCTTGAAAACAGGAAAATGCCAGCTTTACAGCTGACTGCCTGTTCTGCACTCTTACAGAAGCATTATGACTCAGTCTTGAATTACTTGTTTCCATCATGTTTTCACAGTTCATTTTCTCACTTGGAGCAAAGAATAAATCCATGAGGAGTAGAATTAGATTTTGCAGTTGCTGTAAGCCCTGCATTTGCTGTTCTGTTGATGCTTGATTTTTCTTAGAGTAAATTTTATTATTTAATGTTTGTACTAACAGTCACATCTCAATGTCCAAGTCAAGGTTTGGTGCGCAGCAGAAGCATCTAATAGGAGAGAGACAATTAGAGCTAAGTAGACACAAAGCAGAGGAGGAATTGATGACTCTGAAGATGACAGATTGCAAACAGGCAGTGACAAAGTCCAGACTAGAACCCTGGACTTCTGATTCACCAGAAAGTGCCCTTAAGTTGTTGATCACCCTGAAATCTGAGAGGTGAAAAACCTTACTGATCTTCTCCTCTTGTCCAGTCTTGACTCAGCGCATATTTATGTCCAGCCATAACATTTTGATTTGACCATAGGTGTATGATTGTCTGAATTATTCCATTAGCTGAATTCTTCATGGTCCCATGGAAGATAGGGAGGAGAGGAGATTTGGTTTATGAAAGCCACATCTTGGGGACTTTCGACCCTTATCCTTGAAGGATATGTATAGGACGTTTGTCACAAAAGTCTTTTGCTTTCTTTAAAGCCTAACACCTTTTAAAAGCAATCCTCATGAGAAGAGCTGATGACAATCCTGCTGTGCCACAGACATAATTGAAATACTCAGTTATGCTGATTCCTTGGCAGCATCTAACAAAATCTTCAGATACAGAAGTTGCACCCAGATAAGTGATTGTAGGGTCTGGAAAACCTAAGTTGACTCAGGTAGTGTCTGTACAACAGCAAAAATTATTTTTCTATATGTTTTATTTTGGTTTTCCCTGCCCAAAACAACAGGTGGAATTCTTTGAACCCTTTTGGGATAGTGGAGAACCACGAATTGGAGAAAAAGGAGCAAGAGGCTGGAAAGCATGGATGCACCAACAAGAAAAGGGTGGCTGGATCACTCTCAAGCCCGGTATGTCTGTGTCAGTATGTGCAGCTGTACGTCCACATGTTCTTCTGCACATTTTTATTAGAAGGATACACGCTGTTTATTCCCATGTTTTTGCATACAAGTTTTAAAAAATATTTACCAAGATTAAGATAAAGTATATCACACTTCACAGGGAAAGTGTGTGTTGACTGCTCTGTGTACGATATTGTTTATGGAATATTTTCCTTCCAGTGAGTGAGAATTAAAGGAAAGGATGGCATATCCTCCACTCTGAGCTGAAAAGGCTAAAAGTGGGAGTACTTGGTAGAGACCCACACCCATCACAAGTGGAAGGAAGCTCCTTCCATTAAGACCTTTTCATCATACTGGTAGACCATGTGGGATTATAGTATTAGGTGACAGTTGCCTCAAGGATTCTTAGCTTAATGACTATTTCTAGAATCAGATTTCAATTTCTTACAGCAAATATATAGTAGAAATAGGAGGAAAACCTTTCCGTTTTCTTTGTGATACAGAAAACAAAGAAATTGCATCTTTACTTGGCTTCTGGGTAAGTAAATAATTGTCTGAATTATTCCGTTAGCTTCTGGGAAACCTTTCTGCATCCCTGGGTAACCACAGATGCAGAAACACCTCCCTGCTGCTTAGTCCCACCTTGTCTTCTGTTCTACACTGCTTCCCTTAATGTCAAGGACTATTTCTCAAACAGATACATCTTGAAGGGAAGCAGGGGACTGGAATGTGTCTGACCAAAGATGAGCTGTCTCTACTTTTGCTGCTCCTGCTGCTGGAGCAACTCTAATGTGAAGCAAGTTTGGCTCTGCTTTTAGTAAACAAAGGAACTGAGAAATGATCCTGCACTTCCTTTGTCCCTGGTTTAAAATGGAATTTCCTTGCCCCTTAACTGAGGTCAGCAGTTCCACGGCTGATGGTATAGACCTTTTGCCCATGAACTGAGGAGACTCAGTATAGAGAAGGGGACTGCTGCCAGTCTTGGGCAGGTCCAGCATATATCAGTGCTTTTTACCATGTGTGACAAGCCCAAAAGTCCAGGTGCAGTCTATAGTCAGGTGTAATCTCTAGAACTTGTCAATTTTTTTCAGACTTTGGTTAGATCATGGAAATGCTGTTATTTTTCATAGAGTTACTGACTAAAGGAAAGGCAATAGATCACGAAAAATACATAGAGAGTAAAAATCTTGCCACTACCTGTTTGTTTTACCTGTAATGTAAAATTTTTAATTTGTACCAAAAAAAACAGTGCAGGTAACCGTAAATTTTGGGGACTTTTTTTTCCTCAACAACAAGAAAGAAAAAAAAATTGAAAAATCTCTAAAAACTTTCCCTTAACCTTCAAGTGTTCATCAGTTTCAGCACTGAGCTAATATATTGCTGTCACAGGAAAAATATGCTAATTGTATCTAATAATCCAGAAAGATTATCATAAAAGTGGACTGTGGTTAAGAACTTCCTTTTGTGTGTGTTTAACTATGTTGGTGTTTCAATTGCACATTAATTAAAATATTGAAAATACCAGATATTTTAAAGCAACATTGCCAAGCTTGGTTTGTGTTGTTTAACATTATAGTACTATTTTTACTTACACTGGTTTTCTCAAAATGTTTTATGCACATGAGCATTCGTAGAGCACGTTTGAGATGGTATGCCCAGGTATGAATTGAAGAACCTAAGTAGCACAAAAAGATGACTTGAGTCCTGGCTGTTGCTTGCAAACTGCTGTTGATAAAAGTGGTCCACAGCCTGTAATGTTTTCTTTTCTCCTCTATGGGAAAGTTTGAGTGCCAACACTGATTCAGTGGTTCAAAAAGTCTGGAAACCTACTCTTAGCAGAGTTGGTGTCAAAACCCAGAACTGTGATGTGGAAATTTTCAGCTGTGTCTTGTGTCTGTTTTATTAACACTATATTTGTTTACATTTTTAAGTAGTTAAATTGTATGTCAAGTCTGGCCTTTGGATTTGGTGGATTTCATTTTTCTTTAATAATTTTGTGTATGTGGGTGGTTGTCTCGATTTGGTTTTAGATGATGATGATGAAGAGGAGATTGATGAGGATCAAGAAATAAAGGATAAAACTCTCCCCAAGTGGCATATTTGGTTGGATATTGAATATTCTCGTGAAGCAAGGCATTGGTTACCTTGGAGACCAGACAAAAACAAAAAGGAAACTGAAGAAGATTGTGAAGATCCAGAAAGACAGGTCACTGTGACATAATAAAACAAAGGGAGATGATAAGACAAATTATCCTTTCATTTGAATTCATTGCAAATGAATATTTTAAAGGAGCAGTACTTTTCTTAGTTGGAAAAGAATTTTTGCTTTGTTGGGAATTCAAAATTTACCTGAGGTTTTGTGCTGAGACTTCTGAAATCCATGGGCAGCTTATGATAAACCTTGGAAAGGGCTGTAGGCAAAGAGTCTGTCTTTGCTGTTCTGTGATTTCTCTCACCTGTGTGTGGAAATGTCACAGAAATCTGTGTTTAAGACGATACATGCATTAAATAAACAAAGGTTTTGTTGCCTTCAAGTCAGATAGTTGGATTTTTTTTTTCCCTTCTTGGGAGGTAGATCAAGTCAGACATTGGTTTTCAAATAAAAATGTGTTAAATGACTTAAGCAGTAATATCTTTCAGACTTTCATTGTGTAAATTTTCTGTGAAGGTTTCTGATACTCAAGGGCAAAGAAATCTCTTGATAGCAAATTTGTGGTCTGACTGGAAGAGCACATCACATTAAAAACTTGTCTGTTTTTAATTTGAATGACATTGTTACCATTTAATAGTAATTATAAATCTTTATTGTCTTGAAAAGGTTTTTATAGTACATAAATTACAGGTTTGCTAATTTTATTTGATTGCATAAATTAACAGATTTTGCTTTAATTTGGATTTTTTCAGGTATTATTTGATGATCTTGGACCGTCTTTGATCCGGCTTTCTGATCCAGATCTTCAACATCAACTACTGTACTCATTTTTGCAATTTCTGGGAGTTCCATGTACAAGTAAACTCTTTCCTTCCAACCTCTATATTGCCATGGATGAAAATAATATCTTTGACAGTGTGCTTTCTGATGAAAAGCCACTGTCTTCTGTTGATTTTCCACTTTCTGGATTCAACAGTATTGGTCATATGGACACGATGCTACGAAGGAGACACCACATAGGCCACTATAAAGAAGGAGAAGAGTTCATACAGAATGTTTTTCATGTTCTTTTCCTGCTATTTTCAGGAAAGGAAAAATCTAACTTCTCCATTTGTTGGTTACAGTACGAAATATCCAAGGTAACGAGGAATCTGCATATAATCACTTTTGTGATGTGTGGTTTTCTTGTGTATTAATGTTTATATTCAATTAAAATAAATACTGATGAAATTCAAGTCTTGTAGGACTAAGTATTCAGATCAGGAAATGCCAGTTAGGATTGCACTGGGGGTAAAAAAAAAAACCAAACCAACAAACCCTTTTCTTCAGTACATGTTACACAGTGGCATACATGTAACACTCTCTTGTAAGGCCCCACCTGGAGCACTGTGTCCAGTTCTGGAGCCCCCAACACAAAAAAGACATGGACCTGTTAGAACAAGTCCAGAGGAGGCCACCAGGATGATCCGAGGGCTGGAGCACCTCTCCTATGAGGACAGGCTGAGAGAGTTGGGGCTGTTCAGCCTGGAGAAGAGAAGGCTCCAGGGAGACCTTATAGCGGCCTCCCAGTACCTGAAGGGGCTACAGGAAGGCTGGGGAGGGACTTTTTACAAAGACAGGTAGTGATAGAACAAGGGGAAATGGCTTTGAACTGGAAGCGGGGAGGTTTAGATCAGATATTAGGAAGAAGTTTTTCACTGTCAGGGTGGTCAGACACTGGAACAGGTTGCCCAGAGAAGCTGTGGCTGCTCCTCCCTGGAAGTGTTCAAGGCCAGGCTGGGTGAGACTTTGAGCAACCTAGTCTAGTGGAAGGTGTCCCTGCTGATGGCAGGGGGGTTGGAACTAGATGATCTTTAAGGTCCCTTCCAATCCAAACCATTCCACGATTCTATGAATATTTTTTGCCGCTTTGGATAAATGTTGTTATATGATACATTGTATGCTAGACAGGAATGGATGCAAGGGATTTTTTACAAGGGAAAGTGAATCTGCCAGGTCCTTCTACCAAACTAGTCCACTAAGTGCATAATCCCCAATACCATGATATGAGCACTTTATCAAGAAACCTAACTACTTCCTATACAAGTTACATTTGTAACACCCTATCAATCACTTGAATGTGGATTTATTTAGGTAAAACTGCTCTAAGAGATGCCCACAGAAGGATGAGAGTCCAGGTTGTCTTCTGAACACCTCAGAAAGTTTAGTATTGTGTTTCCTTGTGGAGAAGTTCCCTGTCTCTTACCCACACACTACCTGACCAGAAGATCTCCTGTAATCTTCCCGTCCAGTCTCCAGATATGTCTGTCAGCACATTCCCCAGCATGAAAAGCTACTTGGAGGTTTAATTGTGCTAGTCATAAGCTGCATCTGGATCATTTATTTTCCTTTTCTCAACCATTACAGGTTAATGGTTCTTTATTTGAACAGTTGACCTTTTAAAAGAGTGAAATCTGATAATGTCAGTGGTAGGAGTAAGAATAATAAGAGACTGTAATTTGGCTTTGTTGGAGGGAGCTGATAACAGGCAGTTGTGACAACTTAGAGTATTCAGTAGCAATGTATCTAGCTGGTGGTCAAATACAGAACAGTATGAAAACAAACACAATAACAAAATTAAAAAATGCTGTGAGTTTTTTTCCCCTTTCTTTTCCCATCCCTCTCAAAATTTGTTCTGTTTTTCCTTCCCTGCAGGTAGTTCAGTGTCTCCAAGCAAAAAACAAGAAGAAGCTGAAAGCACAAGGGAAGAAGAGTAAAAAGTTGGCCAAGAATCTCCTTAAAGCACCTGACAACCGAAACCACCTTTCTCTCTGGAAACTGTATGCCTACCTAGAATGGCTGCTTGGTAACACTGACGAGGCCAGGAAGGTATTTGACACAGCTCTTTGCGCAGCAGGGACAGGAGGACTGAAGAGTCCCCAGCTCTGCAGCCTCGGTCTGCTTTATGCTCAGCTGGAAGTGGAACTACTAGAAAGTCTAGAAGGAGCTGTTACGTCACATGCTGTTCATATATTGACCAAGCTGGTTGAAAGTGGACCATATGTGCCTTACAGTGGACAAGTGTTATCTGTGAGTGTCTTGAAAGCTCGTAAAACATACGAGCATGCACTGCAAGATTACTTAAGCAAAACGCCGGTTCCTGATCAGGATCAGCTGATTAACTTGGTTGGTTGTTACGCGCTGTTCCAGTATTTGACTGTTGGGATTGATGCTGCAGTGTTAGTATATGCACAGACTTCGGAAAAACTTGAAGCTCCTGGTCCACAGAAATGTGAAAATACTGGAGAGAATTTTGGCATTCAAAAATTTCCCACTGCTCTTGAAGCTGTCACACTGCTGCATACAAATTTACTCAGATTCCACATGAAAATGAGTGTTTATCCTTTGAATCCGCTGCGAGAGGCACTAACGGAGGCTCTGAAACGGTATCCTAGCAACCAGTCCCTTTGGAGGTCATATATCCACATCCAAAGGAAGTCTCACAGTGCCAGCAAAGCACGAAGATTTTTTGATGGTGTCACAAGGTCTACTGACTCTTTAGAGCCCTGGCTGTTTGCAATCCAAGCAGAGCAGATGAGAAAAAAACTCATTGAGAATGTGCAGAGGTAATGTCTTGTAGCTCCTTGTGGTTGTGCTTCTTCTGATTTGTCTGATCACTTAACAGAGGAGAGAAGATGCTGTCGTAGGTCTCGTTTTGCAGATGGAGCTGTAGCTAGGGAAGGTTATTTGTTCACGGCTGAACAGTGGGTCAGTGGCAGAATCCTGAACAGAATTAAAGGCCTAGGTGATAGTCTCACATCCTTTCTACTGGATCAGACTGTGGTTTGCTTTTTGTTTGATCACTTGCTACTGACGTCTGGATGCCAAACATTTAAGTTTTTTAAGTAACTGTTTAGGTGGCCAAGGCAGACACAGTGGGCTTAGAAATGGCTGCGTTTTCATACTGCGGCAGTAAGGAGCGTCGCGCAGAGCTGCGCTGACTGAGCTCGCTGCCCTACTTTACTCCTGGATCACAGGATACGGTTGTGGCAGATCTGTTTCCATAGTGAGTACTTGGGAGTTTAGCTTTCATATGAGGCTGTTGCTCGGTAGAAGAGACTGGAAATTTCCTGAATTCACAGTGTGACCTGGGCTCAGATGTTGTGCTCCTGGGAAAGGAGGAAAGGGTAGGAGATGTGGTGAGCAGAGGTATGTGTTCATTCTTAAAGCTTAGTCTGTAACTGTTGTGTACCCGTTGCTTGGAGCCACCTATCCACTGCTACCTACGTATCTCTAATAACATTGGCAGCTTGGTTCTTTGTGCTTGCACATAGCAACAGACATTTCTAGGAAATTGTTATCCAGAAGCTTTACATAGCTGTAAGATCACAATATTCACACTTGATGAAATTACAGAGTTATCAGTATACTTTAAAAAGGCTGCGCCCACTGCTTTGATTGCCATGGTCTGACAACAGACATGCATATGTGATAGTGACATTCCTGAGCTGCCAGTGTGTGCCCTCCTGAACTGTAATAGGAATTCTACAGCCACCAAATGTAAAGGAGGATTGTAATTTGATTCATGGTTAATTACAGACTGACACTATGATAGGTTTTCATTATTGTTACTGGAAACTGATGTTAAAATTACAGAATTATTATTCTCTCTGTGACATTCATGTTGCCATGAGTGTTCCAGCTGTTTCTTCAAGCTCAAGCATCAAAAATAAGCCAGTCTGTTACCAGCTGTAGATAGAAATCAGTGCTTCAGTGAAAAATACATACCTGCTTTTCTGTTATGCCTGGAACTTAGGGGATTTCAGTTCACTTAGGGGTGAAAAAGAAAGTTATTATTGTAATCATGGTTGATATCCAGAGCTGTGATCTAGGCCTTGATCCAAAACCAACATATGGTCTTACAGAGGTGCCGGGGTAGATTTGAACAGGCTTGCCTGGGCACTAGACTTCAGTTTGGTTTGAGCTGCTGTGCCAAGCTTGGAATGATAAATGATCTTGAGTGAAAACTAAAATAAGATTAAGATCATATAGTCGTGGATTATTATTGTACTTGAAGAGAAATTATCTCCTCCAGTTGGACAGGGTTAATTTTTCAACATGCTAAAAAAAAGAATTTTCACAAAAATACCTTATTTTTATTCTTTTAACTGATTTTCCTGTTTAGAAATGTGTTGGTTAGATTAGCTAGTGCTAAAAATCTGGTTTATAACATTCAGAGTTTGTAGCATGAAATGCAAAAACCTGGCTATATACAGTGCTATGTGAACAGAGACAGTACGTTGACCTTGACCCTCTCATACCTGGATGTGATCCTTCAGCTTGGGTTTAAGGGATTGTGGTTTCTTTTTTCCTCTGTGTTCCAGGGCAGATGTTGGTGAAATACATTTCACTATTCCTGAAACTGGGTTAACAAATCGGATCGTAGCTCTATTTGAACATGCAGTTCAGAGTGAAAATGGAACCCATTGTCCACTGCTCTGGAGAATGTATTTGAACTTTCTGGTAAGAAGACAGTATCAGTTTTAATTTATTTTTTTTTCCCTGTATTTGGAATTTCTCATTAACACAGCTACAATGCTGTATAAAAAAGGAGTACTAATTGCTGCCGTACCTGTATGATTTGCAGGGTGATCTATTTGAATTGTAATGCTCCTTATTGCTGGGAATATTAGGGAAAATGTAACTCACATGGGTTAGAAGGAGCAATAGCTTCCCTCAGTGTAGTTTCAATATAGGTGCAGGCAGGTTATGGTGGTTGCCATCTTACGTAGATAAAGAATATGTCATGTCAGTAGATGGATTCCAGCCAGTCTTACTGACAACATAAAGGTCAGGGAGCAAAATTTAAGAAAACAAGAAGCAAATTGTAGGACTTATTTTTAGGTAAGTTAATTCAGCAAAGATGACTTGTATTTATGTTTTACACCTACTTTATGTTTCTGTAAGGAAATTATAAGGACTTTGATATTTCAGTCAAATCTAGTTCCTGATTTTGTGTAACTTCACAGAATGGTTGAGGTTGGACATCTGGAGGTCATCTTGTCCAACTCTACTCTTCAAGCAGGGCCACCTAGAGCCGGTTGGCCATAACAATGTCTAGATAGCTTTTGAATATCTCCAAGGATGGAGACTCCATAACTCTCTGGGCAACTCATGCTAGTGTTCAGTAACCCTTGCAGTAAAAAAGCGTTTCTTGGTGTACAGACAGAGCCTCCCGTGTTTCAGTTTGTGACCATCACCTCTCATCCTGTCACTGGGCACCACCCCTGAGGCTTTTATTCTCCAGGCTAAACACTGCCCGCTCTCTCAGCCTCTCCCCGTAGGAGAGATGCCCTAGTCCCTTAGTCATCATCGTAGTCCTTTGTTGGGCTCTCTCTAGTATGTCCATGTCTGTCTTTTACTGGGAAGACAACAGCTGGGCACAGGACACCAGATGTGGCCTCACCAGTGCTGAGTAGAGAGGAAGGATCACCTCCCTGGGCCTACTGGCAGTGCTTTGCCTAATGCAGCCCAGGATACCTTTGCTGCAAGGGCACATTGCTGGCTCCTGTTCAACTTGGTGTCCACCAGGACCCCCAGCTCCTTTTCTGCCAAGCTGCTTTCCAGCTGAGTGGCCCCCAGCAGATATTTGTGCCTGGGGCTGTTCCTCCCCAGGTGCAGGACTTCACACTTCTTGTTGAACTTGATGAGGTTCCTGTCAGCTCATTTCTCCAGCCTGATGTGGTCGCTCTGCATGGCAGCAGGACCCTCAGGTGTATCAGCCACTCCTCTCAGTTTTGTGTCATCTGCAAGGTCACAGAGTGTACTGTGCTCCATCAGTCAGATCATTAATGAAGATGTTGAATGGGATTTGGTCCAATATTGACCCCAGGGCTACACTGCTAGTTACTGGGCTCCAGCTCCACTTTGTTCCACTGGTCATCACCCTCTGGGCCCAGACATTGAGCCAGTTTTCAGTCCACCTCACTGTGTGCTCATCCAGTTCTTACATCAACCACTTGTCTAGGAGGATCTTACGGGGAACAGTGTCAAAGGCCTTAATGAAGTTCAGATAGGCAATGTCTACTGCTGTCCCCCTTGTCTACCAGGCTAGTCATTTTACCTTAGCATTTTGTCACGTTGGTCAAGTGTGACTTCTAGTGAATTCATGCTGACTACTTCTGATGATTTTCTTTTTGTTCATGTGCTTGGAAATGGTTTCCAGGATTAGCTGCTCCATCACTTTCCCAGGGCTCAAGGTGAGGCTGACCAGTCAGTAGTTCCCTGGGTGCTCCTTCTTGAAGGTAGCAGTGACATTTGACTTTCTTCAGTCTTCGGGCACTTCTGATTGCTGTGATTGATTAAAGATTATCAAGAATGGCCTCCCAATGACATCTGCCAGCTCCCTCAGCATTTCAGGAATTCCAGGTCCCAAAGAGCAGGAGGAAAGTGTGGAGCAAGGAAGATGTACCCTTAGCGGAAGAGGATCAGGTCAGGGAATACTTAAGCAAACTGGACGTGCCTGCGTCCATGGGCCCTGGTGGGATGCAACCCATGTGTGCTCTGTACTTGTATCAAATAGTTGAGCAGGTACATTGAGGAAGAACTTTTAACTCCTTCCAGATAGATGCTAATTTGACAAACTCATTTTTGTATGTAAAGGGATCCGGCTTTAACAAACTTCTGCTGAGTAAGAGAATGTATGTGCTTGATCTCTTTGGTGCACAAAAATAATGTTTTCTCACCGTCACTGTTCCAAAGGTGCTTCTGTGTAGTGTGTGGCGTGTCAGGTGTAAGTTTTGGTTAGTGATTTGCACTGTGTATTGTTGTCAGATACAGGCAAAGGCACTGGCTTTAACTGAAACACTCAGCCCAGGCTCTATTAGTCTTTGTTTTACTTGTCTTACAAGTAAAGCCATGGAACTCCTTAAAGACATCTCTTCTGTTACACTGAGGAACGTCACCAGTGTCACCAGTGTAACCTCTCCAGTTGCACAGCTACCACAATGCATAGTGACAAGGATTCCCCAGCAGAGGAGCCCTGAGCTTTTCGGCAGTAATTTCTTTCAATCAGAGATAATAATTGTATTATTTCAGCTATTACTGCATTGAAGTATGAACATTTTTTTCTCACACAGGCTTCAATAGGCAAAAAAGAAAAAAGTAAAGGATTGTTTTATAAAGCCCTTCAAAACTGTCCTTGGGCAAAGGTAAGCATAACAAAAAATATAAACCTGTCATCACATTCTAATTTTTAAAGTTCTGTGGGGTTTTTTTTAAGTTAGAATTTAGTAGTTGTTGTAATGAGTTATATGCAGACAAAAGAAGAGATTTCTGAAGGAGAAGTACTGTAAGATTTTCTGCAAATAAGAGATGCACCTGAAATGGAAATAAACATAGTGGTCAGTGCTGTTTGCATTTCAGAACAGACTGTTGCATTGCACGAGACAAGGAGATAAGAAATTCTTCTCTGTGATCTAGAAGTGAATGTGTCTTTCAGGCCAGGTTTCATCATGAGCATGGTAGTAGCAGAAATATATAGCCAAGTAAAAATATATTTAGTTACTAAGAAATTATTCAGGGGCACCTGCAGCTCCTCAGGTAATGTCTGTATATGGTGAAAGTGCTCCAGTGCCTCTTGACCTATGTTTTATCTTTTTTGAATAAAATTATATAGTAAGAGTTGGAAAAGACTTGATTAAACATCTACATTGCTGTCACTGTAGAATTACTGATTCTGGTTCCGTTATTTTAAAGGAGTACATGGTATTTCTTACGTTCTTGCTACAATTGTTTGCATATCTACATGCTTCTTTGTACTGTGTTTCTTGCTATGATAGAAAGATGGCCCAGGAAACGTTCTCCTTGTCTCTCTAGGTACTGTACATGGATGCCATAGAGTACTTCCCTGATCATCTGCAAGAGACTCTTGATCTAATGACTGAAAAAGAATTGAGAGTGCGGGTGCCTATGGAAGAGCTGGAACTGCTATTAGAGGTTTAAAGGAAGACTGTAGAGAGTGGAGAAAGTACAGAAGCTAGTTCCAGAACCAAGTTAGACCTGTCTCTGTTCAAACAGGAGCTCTGTTGGGACTTGGGTACTTTGTACTTTGAGCTTTTATATGAATTGCTATCAAAATGGAGTTCTGCGAGCTGCAAGTATTCTGGAATCAAGTACTGCGTTTACACACAAAAATGCATCCATTTCCCCGAAGCATTGCTGGCTCCCACAGAAGGATACCCTCTTAAAATATCCTCCTGTTTCATACTGCCCACATTTCTTAGTCTATTGTTTGAATTTACATTCCCTAGAGTTCAGTACAGATGCAGTACATGCCAACTATGGTTTGGTGAGCAGCACAGGAAATAAACATCTGCCAAATGGCTGCTCCACTGTCCTCTAGTTGGCAGACTTCAGTTATTTCCTACAACTTGGTATGCATGCGTGTGTATATTTAACTACCAAGTCAAACAGCAGTTACATCTGTACATAAACTGTTAGTAAAAGCTAAATCTTTGCTTCAGCCGGCACCTATTTTGGACTTGTATTTGTATGTTTTGACAGATGACCATTTTAATATGAATATTTATGAAAAATATATCTGAATATTTGAAAATTCAGAAGGGACTTGAATTATTTTTTATTTCTTAATTTAACAGAACTGTGAATGTATTAAAAATTAAATTGTATCCATAGTGCATCTCTAAGCAGCTCATATTTAAACCTGGTTTTGTAATTGGTACTCTTCTTTTGACCCAAAGGTAGGCAGTTGTCATAGGAGGTCTGTTCTGTATTTAATCCTCACCAAAGGAGGCAGAGTAATGAAAATGTGACTGTTTGATTAGTAGTTTCTATTCCGAGAGTCTTTAGGCAAGCTCCTAGAGAAGTTATATGAAGTACGGTAACGATTTAAAGATAACGTTATCTGTTTATTTTATAAGACAGAATATGTTGAAATGTGTGAAAGACTGTTCAGCACCCCTGTGCTTGAGACCCAGTACTCAGAAACTGGATCTCCATCTGGAAGAGGCTGCCTGCAGCCACGGAGCAGCTAAAACTCTTTCAGAGGTTTTTCAGGAGAAGAGTAACAACTGTTGCAGCACTAAAACAATCAGACTCACCCAGCTGATGAGATCTGATTACATGGAAAACTACAGCTGGACAAACCCAAAGGACCTGTGGCTCAGTTGTGCCTGGCAGGATGTGATACATCTTAGTTTAGGCTGCACTTCATTTATTCCTTTCTAAAATTATTTTAAATAGCAGTGGGAATGTGCAGAATTTTAAATGGCATTACAGCACTTCTTAAGAGCCTTATAATACTGCTGGGGTTGCAGGTGATGCTGGTTTTGCTATAAAAGTAATTGATTAGTCTTTGTAAAAAAATACCTACTTTATTGTTTATACCCAGAGCTCCTGAATTGGAGGTAGGAGTTACTCTGTGCACGGAGCAGGAGCATCGCATTTTTGTGTGTGTGCATATGTGTGTGTGTACGTGACCTCAGAAGCTCATCTGCTCCAGCCTTTCGTGGGGCAGGGTGCCTAGGTGAGATTGTCTGGCACCCCGTGATCACCTCCAGCGAGGGCAGCGATGACTCGTGTTTGTCACTTTTCTCCTCCATCCGTCCCCTTTGCACAGCTTCTCCCAGCGCAGCGCTCATGCTGCTCCCTTCACTGGGGGTGTCAGAGGCTGCTCGCTTTCTCCAGGAGCTCCCCTAACTCCTGCCTTTTAATGCAGACCCCACTAGGTTTTTCTGTCCTTATGGGGAATCTACTCCCTCTTTACTTTCTCAAGGTCTTCATTACTTTTGTCTTCACCTTTGTGACTCAAGTTCAGAAATGTTGGAGAAAGTGTCAGAAGTTGAATTCTGCTGCAAAGGTAAGAATTTAATTTTCAGCTCTGTTTCTGTTTCAGTTACTGTTGTGGCAGACAGTTTACCAGAACAGTTCTTGGTTTAGGTTAATGCATTGCAGCTTTCCTTCACTCAGCTGAAGCGACGTCGTTGTGGTTGGTGCTTCCAGCCAGCATCAACAGCTTTGCTTGCCACACGTCTTAAAGCTCTTCAGCCCCTCAAGCGAAGATGAGATCAACTGCCATGATTAGAAAGTGCTAAAAAATCACTTGGCTTTTGTGACCTTTCCAAGGAGATGGATCTCATAAGGTTTATGAGAATGGGTAATAAAACTTTTCTGCTTGTTTTTCTGTCTCCAGCTGAAAAACAACTCTATTTCAGGGTTCCTGTCATCCAGATCAAATTAAAGACTCCATTCAGCTCTAGGGTTTGTTTTTAACAATGAACCACATAATTCTAACCGAAAAACAGTCTCTTGGCCTTGCTGCTGCCATTGTTACAGCGCTGGCAGTTACCGAACGCAGTGCTCTGCGTGTACCTCTCCAGTGTCTGTTCCTGGCCGGCACTTGCTCCCGCAGAAAGTTTCCAGAACAAAGGCTGCACGTTGCTCAACAGCGGTCTGTACATGGAATTTTTCTGTAAACCTTAAAAATCACACGTACAACATCTGGAAGTTAATTACTTTGAACTTAACAAGCACTTCACAGAAGTGTGCTACACAATACTTGGTCAGCAGTATAGGCAGTGCTAGAATGTAGCAGTCATGGCTGTGGCGCTGGAGCTGCAGGCAGTGGATTTGTTTGGGGGGAAGAATTCAGGTTAAGATGACACTGCAGAACACCAGGCATGTGACTTGCAGTTTGAGCGTCTCTCTGCAGTGTGACAAACTGTGCACCTCTAGCTGGGGCTGGTCGGTGCCTGTGCCTTAACAGAACATAGCCCTTGCCTCGGCAGTGCCGGGCTGCAGAGCCCCCTGCAAGCACAGCTGGGTAACAAACTGAAACCAATTTATAAACTCTTGAATGTCAGGTACAAGTACCTCACCCAAACATGCCGAGATCTTTAAACTAAGAATGCTAACGAGCATCCACCTTCCTTTCTTGTAAGCAGAAGTGCTAGAGAGAGATGGGCACCTTTAAAGTGTATCTGAATGTTATTAAGGTTGCATGATTTTCATTAATTTTTATTTGTATGTGACTTAGGACACTGGGGGACTCAACAGTGACTTCTGTCCTAGTCAGCCCCTAAAAAGATACAGCAAAGTAATTACTTTAAGAGCAGCAGCAATTATAGGGCTGTTGTAAAAGACTGATGTGCCCAGCAAGGACTGACAGTGCATCAGCAGCGTGGTTTGGGTCACTGAGACAGGCACTCTCATGTCACTCCTACTTTTTCCTGGCAATAAGTCTGACTACAGCAACAGGCAGTTCCACAGCAAGAGCAGGTCTTTGCCACCAAAACCAGTTCAATTCAAATAAATGTTTTATTGGGAAATGAAGTGTTACACTGACTGAAAAACCACAGTCCACCAGGATTTAACCTCTTCAAGAATGAAAGTGAGCTACACTGTGTGGTTTTACACAAGACTCTCATCCCAACCACAGACAGAGTTCCTGATAGTCCCCAAAGAGACAAGTGACTTAAAGATACAGTCCCTCAGGGGTTCCCTCCTGCTTCTTATAGAGCACATTCTCTTTAGACTTTTTGAAGTCTTCATTTGTTACTTTCATGCGCCGTTCCCGCAGAGCCATCAGTCCAGCTTCTGTACAAATTGCCTGCAACAGAGAAAGCAAGAGTAAGTTCCTGGCTCTGTGCAGCCTTCTCAAGCCACCCCGCAGGAGACAGCAGCACTTTCCTACAGCTCGGACTGACGCTGTCGTGAAGAGAGTTAATGAAATTTGCATCTTAAAGTTTGATACTGTCCAGTAGCACAGAAGCACATAAAACAGTCTGGGTAAGGCTCCATAAGTATGTCCTCCTGTAGTCAGAGTAAGGCTTGTGTGCAGAAGGTGTTTCCCTCCTGCTGCATCCAGCTCTGCAACAGTGGACGGTGTTGTCCTTCTGCCACGAGGTGCCAGAGCACCGCCACATTTGATTAAGCTCATGAGCGTGGTAACACTAGCAAGGGCTTCTCTGCTTTCGAGAAGCAGAGATGTATGTTTGAAGCTTCCTAAGCTATGGTTCCATTTTTATCTGCTTGCAACATAGCCTCTAAAAATGCTTTTTAGTCTGCACTATCTTAATTACTGTTTAAGGTACCCGGCCTGTTTGTGCAAGATTCCACATTCCACTTCTAATTTCCACTTTGCTGCTTCTGAAGTTTCACAGGTACATACAGTTACCAACACGAGCTACCAGATAATTACAATTTTGGAAGGTTTCCCATTTGTAAAGCCGAGTATGTGGCTTATAATAAAAGGTATTAAAATATTTATTCAAGGTATCCCACTGTCCCTCTGTGATGTAACCACAGGAAGCAGAGAAAAGTTTCAGCACAGAGTAATGGGATTTGTGTTTTGAAGTATAAGCAACGGTGATGTACAGACCTTAATATCTGCACCACTGAGATCATCTTTTGCCATGATCAGCTCATCCAAAGTCACATCATCTGCCAGTGTCATCCTGCTTGTGTGAATCTGAAAGATTCGTTTCTTGGTCTTTTCATCAGGCAGAGGGAACTCGATTTTCCTGTCAATGCGTCCTGTGCAAAAGAAGAACTCAGACTTAGTGTTTTGCACGCAGCTAGTGGAAGGAGAGCGGGAAGAACATGTCAAGGTTAGACTGACAGTAACTGTTTCTTCACACCCACAATCAATCACGTCCTGGAGTGCCAAGTGAGATCAGACTATTCCGTTTGTAATGACCAGGAAGCTACTGGAGCTGAAGGATACCACGCTGCTGAGAAAGTCTGTGTCACTGCAGGTAAATGACACCTCATCTGGGAGGCACGAAAAACCACAGGTTCCTTGAGTCACATGTAGCCACAAAACACAATCTGTCACACCACAGAAAAGTATTAATCAAATACGTATGTTCTTGTAATAAATTTTATCCTACTCTGAAATTACATTTATCTCCCAAGTTTAATTTTCGGCCACATACACACACCAAGTGAATCACTGTGGCAACCTAGAGAACTCTTCCTCCCTG